GTTCCTGTAGCACTTTCCTGACTTCTTCCTTATTTTTCTCAACTGCATTATATAGTGTTTTGATACCTTTTATAATCATTTTTAGGAATTCCTTCTCTGGCATTTCCAAAGCCTGCCCATCTTCTAGTATAGAGTGTAGGTCTACTTCCAGCTCATTTGCCTCAGTCACTTTATCTCGTTTCTGGACATGTGAAGATATGGTCATCTGCTTCTGTTTTGGGGGCATCTTCAGGGGTTATGTGGACTTATTACTTAGATGGGTATGTATTTTGATATTTTTTATGCTTTCTGAATGCCTCCAGGTAGATGTGATCAAGAAATGGGCTTCCCCTTTCACTCTTCTTCTTGAGAAATTTCAAGATGCCACTGTTGGTCGTTTTGAGGTAACTTAGGATTTAATTTTCGGCCTATTTCCTCTTTTGTCTGCTTGTCCCACTCCACAATTCCTGTTCAGGCCTTTTATCTAGTTGGAAACAGTTCAGGGCCGGCTGTGGCTGTCTGGTTTTAATTGGAAACTGTCTCTTTAAATTTCGAGGAGATCTGTGTGCACGCATAGTAGAACCCTCCGAGGGTGGGGTTGGGGTGCCCACTAGCTCAGGCACCCCTATAGTCACCAGAATGGAGGTGCACAGACAGCAAGGGACCAATGAACAGATACCAAAGCAAAAAACTGTCCACACCTTTATCTCAGCGGTTCTTCTAGGCGTCTGTAGCCACTCAATCCTTCCCCCGCATGGTCTCACCCAAGACGGCGGCTCCTGGAGCAGCCGAGCGTCCCGGACTAGAAAGAAATAGATTTCTAGCTTCTGCCACAAATTCCCCCAGCTGTAAGCCTTCCAACCTCATAAATATTCCTTTATATGTGGTTCAGAGTTCTGGGACCATCCTCTGAGCCTGCTTGGTCGGGTATTCTGTGTTGTTGTTGGTGGAGCTCCTTACTGCACTTCCACCTGATCCGCCATCTTGTTTGTTCTCCCCATTATCTTTTAATTCAATTTTTCCATGAGCTTTGTGAAGTCCTCTCATTACTCCCTGGTGTGGTGCTGTAGAATGAGCACTGGACTGTGAACCACAAGGTTGGCAGTTCAAACCCACCAGTACAGGGTCACTGTGAGTTGGAACTGACTCAATGGCACTTAACAGGAGTCCTGGTGTGGCGCTGTAGGTTAATACACTGTATTACAAGGTCAGTTTGAACACAAGGTGGGTGGTTCAAGCTCACTAGCTGTTCCCTGGTAACTATGCTAAGTTGCTATGAGTTGAAACCAAACTCAATGGCACATAACAACAACACACATGTTAAAAGTCCTGGTGTGGTGCTGTACGATAAGCATTGGAAAGAAAGATCAGTTTAAACCACAAGGTCGGAGGCTCAAAGCCTAAACCCTAAATAGGGTCACTTATGAGTTGTAATTGACTCAATGTCACTTAACAATTTACATGTTACAAGCAAACAGATAAGACTATTTGACAGATTTGGTCACTGGTGGCTCTAATATCACTTAAATATTATTCCACCTAGTTCTAGTTTCATTGTTGTTGTTGTTATGTGCCGTGCAGTCGAATCTGACTCATATCGACCCTGTACAGGGTTTCCGAGGCTGTAAATCTTTACGGGAGCAGAAAGCCTCATCTTTCTCCCGCGGAACAGCTGATAGTTTCAAACTGCTGACCGTGAGATTAGCAGCCTGAATATTAAATCTAAGAATAAAAAAAATATCACTTCTAGTATAAACATTGTGTACATGTACAAACACACAAACAAGGACCAAAAAACAAATACAACAACACAATAAAGCCCCAAAAATCACCATAAAATAAAAGCAATACAGTTCTGACTCAAACCAGTTTAGCTGAGGTTTATCTTCTGTCATGAACCTCTCCCTAAAGAGGAAAATTACTGTCTATAGGATGAGCACTAAGTAATTTTAAATCATTCTCTTTCAAAATTTGGTTAAATTACCTGCTATTGGAAGTTTAAGGTAATTCTGTCCCCCTCAATGTTATTGTTTCATGGAATTGGGTTTCCTAAAATGTACAATTTTTTTTAAAGGGGTTTTCAGTTACCAAAAAATAGGGTGAAAGGGGAAAATGCTGAGCCTATGACCTTCTCCGAATGCCAGTACTCATTGCTGTAAATATTTCAAAAGTGAACTGTGTTCAGGCACATACTTCTGTCATCAGCACAG